ACCAGCAAGCTTGTGCGCACCCTGATTATCATTTTGATTATATATCTTTTTTTCTGCTTTCTTGTCCCATTTCAATCGTTTCTCTTTGGGTATATGCACCATAACTGTGCTGCCGAAGATTCTCAAATGGTTTACTGTTGGTTTTTTATGATATCAAATTTCAAAAGGTGTTTATCAGGCAAACCAGACGCAGGTGATCTGTTTCGTAAATAAATGGCAGTGTTGACAGCCTCTGCCCAGAACTATTTTTCTAAGTTTGCCTCGAATAATAAACACTTTGCCCGCTCCACTAGGGTACAGTTTTGCCATTCAGAAACTCCATTCTGTTCTGGAATGTATGAGTTTGTTCGCTGGTGAATTATACCACTTTTCCTAAGAAAAGCATTCATCTCATTATTGATGAACTCACCACCATTATCTGATCTCAAAATCCTCATCTTTTTCCTTTGTAGGTTCTCTACAAGATTCTTAAATTCTTTGATACGATCTGATACTTGGTTTTTTGACTCAAAAAAATGAACAAATCCATACTTTGAATGGTCATCCTGCAAATTCAAAAAATATCTCGAGCCTCCTACGGACTTAATTTCCATTGGGCCATATAGGTTACAATGTATTAAATCTAAAACATTTGTAGCTCGCTCAGCATCTTTTGGAAGAGGCAATCTATGCTGCTTACCTTCACAACACGTTGTACAGTTGTACTTTCCAAGGTCTATCTTCTCAGTGCACTCTAGACCTTCTACGGCACCATTTCTCATCTTCCTAAGGTCTCCACTGTTTAAGTGACCAAGCCTTTTATGTCACGTTTCTGCTGTATCATATCTCTGCTGCTTGTTAAAAAACATTTTTCTGAGCAAATGTTCAGCTTGTAGACGCAATTAACTAAGTCAGCTACTGCTACTAACTCAGTGTGCTTGTTGTAAATTTTGCAATGCTGTAAATCAAAAATAACTTTATCACCGTTTTTGATTATTTGACTTACCGATAGTAAATTGGTGGTAAGATCTGGCACACAGAGAGCTTTCGGAATAATTATGTCATGTAACTCGCTATTGACAATTGTGCTAAGCTTGACATCACCACAACAGATTACTGGAACTGCTGTGTTGTTGGCCACCAATATTTCTTTTATAGGACAAGGACATTTTTCAGTTATTAGCTGAATGTCAGACTTCATATGCACGCTTGCGCCACTGTCAATATACCAATCTGTTTACTGTATTCACCATTTAAGAAAACCACACTGAAATATTTTCAATTTTTGTTCCTTGTTTATTGATATCTTTGTTTCTTCTTGGTTTTGTACCAGTTTGATTAATAATGTCCACATTCTTTACACTTTATGTTTTTCAACCTGTCCTTATTTTCATTGGTTGAAATCTGCTTCTTTTTCTTATGAAACGGTTTGCCACCTTTTGTAAAAAATACACTGTTTGCGATAGTGACTTCACTGCCTTCCATATCTAGAAGTTTTGTTTTCACAACATCAGTTGTAACTGCTACGCTCGAATGTTCAATTGCCATAATCATTGGCGTAAATCTTACAGGCAATCCTGCAAGCATCAGCGAGCCTACCCACTCGTCATCAATATTGAAGCGAAGCCTGTGCCTCGCAAACGTTGACTGGTTTCTACTATCTGGTTAATGTAACTGGCCATTGACTTACATGCTTCTAACCTAATAGAAATTACAACAAGCTAATTCTTCTGGTAGTAAACCCACTAGCATCGAACATAGTCTTTAGCTTTTCCCATAAGTCTCTGGCTGTGACTGCCGACTTAATATGGACATATAGACTAGGGTCAATCATCAGGATTAACTTGGATTTGGCCTTTTCATCTTCAAGCCTTGCTGCAGCAGCAGCTTGTGCTTCTGTTATTGTATTAGTACTACTTGATGAAGCATTTGTGCCTGCGCTTGTACTTGCCCCATTGCAATGCTGCAATCCTTCCAGGATCAAGTAATTCTACGCTCCAAAAGCCCATTCATCATAAATTTCTCATTGTCTATATGTACCCTTGTGCAATCTTCCTTATTTATTCACTATAACTTACTAGAAATTAGCGAGAAAAAACTAACTATTTTTACAATAATTAGAATTGATATACCTACAGGGCTTTCATTTCAAAACTTGGCACCCACGTTATCTGCGTGAAGAGGCATATTCGTGGAAATCGCCAAAACACGTCAACAAATTTATTGCGGGGGAAGGTTTTTTACGTGAAAGTGGACTTTGTCCCTTCAACCCCCTAAGCCCTAGGGCTACCACCAGAAAATTTTCAAATGAGACAGGGAGTCGAGTGATTAATCATTTTAAAGGGCTGTTTAATCTGTACATTTTGCCGTCCTATTTTTTGAATTTGACCTCAGTATTGCAGAATAACAACCATTTCAATGTCTAAAAATGCCTATTTATCCCTAAACACACCTGCTTCTCTACCTACCTTTTTATTACAGCCACAGGTAAACAAGCAGGTGTGTTTAAGAATAAATAGGAATTTTTAAACATTGAAATGGGTGTTATTCTGCGACGGTGAGGTCAAATTTAAAAAATAGGACAGCAAAATGTACAGATTAAACAGCCCTTTAAAATGATCTATCACTAGACCCCCTGTCTCATTTGAAAATTTTGGGGTGGTAGCCCTAAGACTTAGGGGGTTGAAGAAGCGAAGTCCAGTTTCCTTCCCGCTCCATAAATTTGTTGACGTTTTTCGGCAATTTTCAGGAATATGCCTCTTTATACGCTGATAACGTAGGTGGCAAGTTTTGAAATGGAAGCCCTGTATACTTAGTTGACTCGACAACATCAAATAAACTCTTTTCTATTGTTTTTTTACTCACAGCACTTGCTACCCAGACTGAATTTTAATAAAAATGTGATTTCTGACAGATGTTGTCACATCAATTATTATTGTACTTGAAAAAATAAAGTTGATGATGATCGGCCAAAGACGAAATGTCGGATTTCAAATTTAGATACACCATTGTGTAGAGGAGAGAAAGTTGCCCTTATTAGATGTAGTTTATTTCGAAATCTCTTTCCAAATGAGCCTAGGAAAAAATGAAAAACTGCATTTATTTTTTTTTTAAATTATGCAAAACTTCGAATTGCTGTATCTTAGAAACTATTTCATCTACAAAAACCAAATTCATCTCGTTTTTTTTTTTAAATTTTGTTTACTTTAAAATTGTACATAACGACTTTTGCCGTAACATTAGTCCTCGATGGTAAAAATTAACAAAAAGTTGAAGAAGGGTGAAAATTTAGCGGTTTTAGTAATATTCAACAATGTTCCGGAGGGCTTTCGAGGTCGAAAACTCGGATTTGTCATCACCACAACATATCAAAAAATGAGAACTACCTCATTTCACGCAAGGCAACACCCTTTTTTTCGTAAGATTTCCATGCAAGTTCTCTCTATATTTTCAGCCAATTCCATAGGCATTGTTTTTTCATTTACTGTTTTGTTTTATTTTTCTTTAGCGACTTTTTTTCTCTCGGCACCCCGAAAAACGCTACAAATAACACGATAATACCAGAAAATTCCTTACAAATTCTTGGAAATCCTGACTCGTGGAAAGTAGAAAATTTCTAGACACCTGGATCATGTGGCGGCCTAAATAAATTCAAATTTCCATGCGATAATGAACCTCGAGAATGTATTATACAAACAAACTCATGAATAGTAATATGCTGTGGCATATTCTCACCTGAGTTCCTGTATTCGGAAATTGCATAGAATTTTCATTTTGCTGAAAAGAATATAAGTAGATACTATATGGAAAAAAGAAATGGCGTTTTGAAAACGAATCGTTTCAGGAAAATGCTTATAGCCCTTTTTTATTTCGATTAGATAAATAGGTAAAAAAATAATCTGATCACAAGCTAGCATTTTAATTCTAGAAACTTTATAGCTGAACATGGAAATTCGCAAAAACTTTCAGAAATTCTTGAAAAGAAAATCCATTCCAGTAATTGTATTTGCATGCAATTGGTACAGTTTCTTTGCATACCTGCTTCAGGAAAAGTAAGGGAAAAGACGGGCATGCTATCCATTAGCCACTATCGAAAAATAGCGGACTTCTGCTCTCAAGTTATTGATTCGATAAACAATTTTAAACCACTTCGCCTTGCTTGGTGCTTACCTTTTTATATGAAGTATATCTCTTCAACACTATTTAATTAACTTGATTAAAACTATTTTAGTGAGAAATCTCTAGTTTATTAAACCGTTAAAACCTCCTCAAAAACGATCTTTGCAACCCACTCAGGCTGCAGTTTTATCGTTTCACATAAAATGTAAGAATCTGTATCATGTGAGCAATGAAATTATATTGTACAAGTAACATTTGGAAATATGGGTTAGTGTAGACCCGTAATCTGAGCTGTAAAACGCATATCTCAGTTAAGAAATTAGAATGCATTCTGAGATTTTTAAAATGGTAAGCATTTACGCTTATCTGATTGTTTTAAGTTGCACAATTTGATTAATCTTCACGTTTTCAATCTAGAATAAAATATGTTAAAAATCACCTTCAAATGTTAGTAGTTTGAAAAATTTATAATTATATGTAGGTAATATAAGTAATAAAATCGATTATACAACACTTGTAGCTATCTTGAAATACCTATCTACATAGGAGCGAATACATATTCCTACAAGTCAATATCTCATTAAAATATCATATAGAAAGAAATTAACATTCAAATATTTCCCAATCCAGAAAGTTGATTCGGATGAATAGTCTAAATTTGAATTTTTTTTCTCGTACTCAGATATTTTCCGGCCTAGTTTTATTATGACAGATACCACTTAGTGCATTTTTATTGTGCGCCTGACATGCATTAAGTGTTAAGAAGTGTTTTATTCATGCGGACTCTTGTAGCACATCAACTTGAATAGCATTAAACGTTCATTATCGAATATTCTTTTATGTAACATAAAAGAAATTACATCATTGATAAAATAGTAGTTTAAATCGACAAAAATTCTTACCTTCCTGGTACTCGTCGTTTTCATGTCCGGTTGTAGAGCCATGTTGCTGAAGGGAACCTCCATGGAGTACTTGATAGAGTGGAGCAGCTGCACGACCACGTTGCTGACGTTCTTGAAGCTGAGCTTTCGTCGCTGAGCAGCACCCAAAGCGGACCGAACCTGGAGCGTGTTGAACAACAGTGGCTGAAATATCGGCAAAGGGAGCCGCGGGTGGGCAGGGGGTTAGTCACATATGAGGGGTTAGTTACACTTGGATACGTGATACGATACAGGTAGTGTGCGCTTGTTTTTTGGTGAAAAGTGTGTATATGTAGAGAGGTTTAATTAACTAAAAGTTTCGCGGTTTAAAATAAAATTCTGACACAACCAATTTAATCTCTCAGCGTCGCAAAAAAATACTCCATTAGAATTAAATTTTCAGCGATACAGTGACAGGAGTTTTGAAAACATTAACCATGCAAAAGCACGGAGAGAAACTGGGAGTTTGCTAGCAACTTTCGACTCACTGTTTGGGGAGCCGAAACTAATAAATTTGCGGTAATGGAAGTTCTGCGAAGCGTGAACGAGTTAATCCATATAATTTTAATTCAGTAGGCGAGAAAACAAATTCATATCATTAAAATCTGACAATATTCGAGAGTACCTATTCGGAAAAGTTGATTCTATACTGTTAAACAGAGAAAACTTACGGCTAGCAATAGCAGGAATTATTGATAATTGAAATATCTTATAAATTTGTATGTGATTTTTAACAATGAAAGTGCAAGAGGGAAGGACAAACCAGCGAAAAAGATCAATCTCTAGTAAACAATACTTTATAGAATCACGAACAGACAACAACAAAGTCGTAACTGATTAGGATGCAAATCACATGCAAGAAACCTTTGGGCAGGATGATAGAGAGGATAAAGTTTACAAAAGCGAGAAAATCCAACATAAAGATTTCAGGCCCAAACAAAAAAACAAAAGGAAAATGCGGGAATTATTCAAATACAGCGGGGAAAAATCCATTTTGTCGGTTCGATGCATTATCCAATAGGTTTTCTTAGAAACCAGCAGCTAGAACAGCAATTACATTTGAAACGTAGAATTGGAAACCCTGGGTTGCAAGCTTTAATAAAAACTTTTTGAATCACCAAGTAATAAATCAGGATCAGATCTAAGGAAAATTGTGATTGCGTTTCCAGACACCAAAGCTGGTCGGTTTTTCATTATTAAAATCGACAAAATATCTGTGAATGAAAAATTTTAGGTGGTTTGTGTAAGTACTCTTGCAACATTAAAACAATATTAGGTTAGTATTAAAATTTGGGATTTGTAGAGGAAAACTTTCATTAAGAATTTTTAATTTTAAAATTGAATTTTTGAGATGTTTGATCCTCTCCAAAAATAATATTTCTCCAGCCAACTGAAGGATAATTTTTTGGTTGAAAACGCATATCTTTAAGATTTCTTGATGAAAGTTTCTTATAGTAGACACACACAACCATTTAAACAAAATGAATTGAAACACTGAATTATGAGGAAGTATAAACAAATACAATGATTGTTCAATAGAAACGCGTTGAGAGGCTGTAAGGCATTTGCTATAAAACATATTTAAAAGTGGTTTTCATTAATATTCGGGATAAGCCTCACTGCTGCACTAATCTTATAGGTTTTTTCCGGATGCGGCTGTTTTCGGCTGTATTCTCTAACAGCGAACTCTACCTCTACGTCCTTAGGGATAACTCGGGATGCAAAGTAGATATCTTTAAGACTCCCAATTGAGACGATTATTTTTGATTTTCATTTGAATATATTGATCAGCGTTGATGTTGACACTAGGTTCTTCAAAATCTCGGAGCAGCACATCCTGGTAATTCGAAAGTAGGTACTCAGTTCCTGTTACTTTTCCTGTAGACTTAAAAAAAGGTTGTGGATGGATGACATTTTCCTGCTCTCGAAAACTGTGCACACTTTGTTGCAAATGTAATATTTTCACAAAATATAATATTAAGTGATTATTTGTTGAATGTGACACTGGATTCAAATATGAGTGATAATATGTACATTAGCTGAACAATTATGCCGTGGCACTTTTAATGATGAAAGCATGCGGTTTTTTTGTTCTCCTTAGAAAATCAAATAGAAAAACGTGGTATATGTTAACACTCGAAAATTCAGTGCAGTGGCGTCGATAAAGGGGGTATAAGAAAAATAAAAAAATTATTTAAGGAACTTTTTAATAAATTTCAAATAAACACTGGGGGCTACTAAAATTTTACAAAATACATTAAAAAAGGAGAAATTAAGGTCTTTATGCGAGGGAAGCTATTTTCTTGGGGGATAGTAGGCCAACTCTTGGAGGTGTTGGGCAGTACCCGTTGAAGGTACTTTTCGAGAGATGGGCCGGGTAGTCGCAGAGTAAATGTTCCGGGGTTTCAGGTGCGGATTCTCAAAATCTGCAGTTGGCGTGTTCTACCTTTTCTATTGCCTTTAGGTGATATTTCACTGGAAAGTGTCTGTACTGTCACCAATTTGATATTATTTCTGATAATGTGTAAATAGGACCTGTTCTGCCCTCTTTTGTGATGACTCTTTTTACCTGTCCCAGTACTAGAGTTTGTCTCCAGTATGTGGAAAATAATTGGTCCTTGTCCCATTTATATAGTTCATTTGTTATGTAGCTCTTCATTAAGCCGCAAAATGGTGTTTCAGCACCTTATTTACGCACCATCGTTAGTAGTTTAAGGGTCTGATGGCATTCCCAGACTAGCTTTGAGACGCATTTGCAAGCCTTCACACCCCTTAAAGCCGATTGGCTGTCTGATAGTATCAAGATGCGTGTTGTGATGTTTTGGTTTGGACACTCTTGTGCACAAATATTGATTGCAAACAATTCAGCTTGGAATATGGTTGGATATTTGCCCAGTGACTGGGATACCTTGAAGTTTCTGAAATGCTTGTCCAGCCAATCCAGTTCCGTTCCCTACATTGGAGTCATCTGTGTATCTCAGCGAGGTATTCGCTGCATGTTGTAGTTCTTCATTCTCCCATGATTGGCGTTACCACAGCGATTGGAGTCTCTAGGTGAGACCGTCTTCGCGCAGGTGGCCTCTCAGATCTCGAGGCTTGAATTTATTTCAACACAGGGAGAATTTTTGTCGGTTGAGATACTGAATCCGAAACTAATTTTAATAAGGAAATGTATGAGATTAAAGTCAATTGAAAATTGAAAAACTGGAGTTAGTCATTCGAACCCGCGACCATCGCATTGCTATTACGAAGCTTTATTTCCAGTGACTTTAATTTCCACAATTTTTTTTTAATAAAATTATTTCGGTATCTTAACCGACAAAAGTTCTCTCTCTCTTCAACTTTGCTAACGTCGCATGGCGTAATTTGGACGAAACCTGCGAAACAGTGATATAGGCGACTTATCCTAGAGGGACCGATTCCACATTCGTAAACCATTGGAGGATTGAAATGATTGGAGTGTATGGGAGGCGAACGAAGCAGCCGTTAATTCTCGAAAATCTGCCAGGATCCTTATTCTTGAAACAGGGGAGCAGCGTTCCCCGGAGAACGAGTGTTCCATCTTTGTTGCTTATATTATCATTTGCATATCATTGAGAAAGACGGAACTCTCGTTCTCCTGAGAACGTTGGCTCCCTATTTCAAGAATAAGGACCCAGGTGGGTTGGTTGGCTCAGTTGGTAGCAGCGTTGTCGCACGTCAAAATACTAAATCGGGAGAAAAGGTTGAAAATCGGTAGATTACTGCGCAAAATCGGTAGGTATAACACAAGGATAATACACACTACTAACGATTGTTTATCGGCCTCGTTTTCGGTAATCGCGGCCATATTGCTGTATCACCATTGCCGACGTCATTAACTAAATCGTCAGCCGTTTGCGCCAGCGGTCGTAGTTTAGAATATACATTTATGATGAAAAATATTATTTAATTTTTATTAACATAATAGGCAAAGAGAAAGATGCAAACGAAATCTAAACAGGAGTTGTTAATGTTAATTATTAATGTAGTAAGAGACCAAGTATGCATAAGGCATAAGACCGCGGAATCATAACTTGTGATGCAAACAGCGAGAAACGACGTGCTGCCTACGTCACAACTGGTGATTTGGCGTAGTGGAGGGCTTCAGATTTGTTCTACACAGGTCTTTGAGGATAGACTATCCTATAGTAGCAGTGTGTAATATCCTTGGGTATAACCAGTGGGTAATGTGGGTATAACATAGAGACTAAAATCCAGCCGTGTTTTGCTTTTAGTTTTTTATTTCGTTCAGTATGTGACAGCCTAGTGATTGTTTCCGTGGAAAGTCTATTTCTTTGTGCTGTTATCATTGGATTTATTGTTGAGAATGTGCGCTCAACATTGGCGGAAGAATGGGGCAATCGGCAATGACAAGATATTAAAAACAAATTCGGATTTCAAAGGACCCACAGGTATTCCCCGAAAGAAATGCACTGATATCAACCATCAACCATTGCTAACAAATTTGTCGTCAGAGGATCTATTTGACATCTGACACGAACAAACAATTCGATAGTAGATTGGGTGTGGTTAGAAAAATCGGAGAAAACAAAACCGATAAAATTGATTTTTTGGCGAAAAACGGTAAAAGAATCGGTAGAATCGTAATTATTGTCGAAAATCGGTAAAAATTCATCAGTATTCGGTATTTCGGTAAGTCCGTTGCCATTTCGGTAGAAATACCGAAATTTCGATAGCTTCGACAACACTGGTTGGTAGAGCTTCGTACTAGCAATGCGATGGTCGCGGGTTCGAATCCCGCACTAACTCCAATTTTTCAATTTTCATTGAATCTAATTTCCACAAATTTTCTTTGTTGAATTTATTTGTCTGGAATAACCTATTAGCGCAAGTGATTGCATGCCCCTGTTTTCACACTTAGGTGAAGTAAAGGCATGTTCAGCGTCGTTAAGGCCGCGGTTGACTGGGCAACTGAGCATTGCCCCTGTTATTCCTAGACAGAATAGACTTTGAACCTTCTTAAGTTTGATCTGAGCGGTGACCTACGCAGTTTTTGGCCACCATACCGATGAGATATATGTGACCATGGGCTTTATTTACTGTCTCGTAGATCAAGTATACCACTCTAGGTTTGAGCTTCCATGTCTTGCCAACAAGTTTGCGGCATGTCCAGATAGCCACTACCGCTCAAGAAAGATTTGAATGTAAGAGCTGTGATACGAGACATGGTTATAGACGGTGCCCTGCTTATGGTAAGCGTTGTAGATATTGTACTCGCTATGGTCCCTTTGACGTTATATTGTGTCCTAGTATATCAAATGGATCAGAAACCGATGATGATAATGAGTCTGATGGTGAGAATGTTGAATATATGGTGTCGTCAATATTTTTCAATGAGATAAAAAATGGTAAAGAATGGCTGTTCCAGAATTTGTGATCCAATGTGAGCCCTGAGTATTTCACCTTATTGGAAAATGTTAACGTTCTCTTAAGTTTAGGTGTACGGATTTTCAGGTTTCTCCTTCTCATAAACGGAACTAAAATGGTTTTGCTAAGCTTCTTCCACATCTTCGCTCCAGTGCTTAATGATGTTTAAGGCAATTTGCGTTTTGTTGTTGATAATGCCTTCGTGCTAACCCTTGGTTATTATCATCAGGATCATTCGCGTAGCATAGGATTATTCAATCCAGATCTACTCAGCTTGGTTATGATGTTATCTATCACCAGCTTCCACAGTAGGGGCGAGAGAACGCCCCCTTAGGGACACCCTTTGACTGCGGATACGGTTATTGATATTGCTCCGTTTATTCCAAAGCTAACCGAGTTACAATAGATATACAATGAATACTTCCAATATTTTAACTAGGAATGGACACGAAATAGGAAAGCATTGTATCCACTAGAGATGGACTTTTCGATACATTAATCAATATTACAATATAATACACAATTGACTTGTCAAAAATTAATTAATCTGTTGTTCCTTATTATTGTACCGCTTAAATAAATATTTACTTGCTCTATGTTATACTAGCAATGCAGAATGGTTTAAATATTGAATAGCAATTGTTGACTAACCCTGGTTTTGATTGATTTTACATAAAACAACAAGATTTGGAACTTCACCCTCCCACAAACCTCTGCACAATTTTCCGGAGTGTTAACATATGCCATACGATTACCTACTGATATAATATTAATTTAAAAATGGTCTTTTGCTTTCATCATCAAAAGTGCCTCGGTGTACAAAATACTAAATATCATTTGTGGATAAAATGAACTTGCTCCACTGCAAGAATAAATTGTAACCGAGGAATGGAGTAATAGTTTGTGGTGAAATGAGGAACTAGGAATTCTATAAAATTGCTATAAGACTAAGAAAAAACTAAGACCTGGAAGGCAAATTTACAATGCGGCAAAGGAATAAAGATGTACGTATCTCTGAGAAGGCAAACAAAACTAAACTGCTGGACAATTGCTTTCGAGCAAAAGGAAAATTTCTCCTAATTTTCAAGCGCGATATTTTTGGAACTAAAATATCGACCTCTGGTTTCCATATAGCAATTTTTTTCACAAAAAGTCAATCTGTCAGCCCGTGAAAACCGGAGGTCGATATTTGGTCTGACTCCAAAAATATTGAGCTTGAAAGTTAGGCGAAGAAATGTCCTTGCTCGAAAGCAATTGTCCAGCAGTTTAGATCATTTCCAAGAAAAAGAAATATAGAAGACATTTGAAAATAATAGAATATATGAAAGCTTCAAAAATTAAATACTATTTACTAATAATATTTTAATTAGAAAGAAAATGAGTGAATAAGTTTTAAAAAATTATAGCCAACTTCCAGAATAAGAATCCATGAGAAACTGCCCTAGGAAGTGTTTTACTGAATTCAAAGGTTGCGTTGAAGAAAGAAAAAATGATTGCACACTCAATCAGTGGTAGCCGGTCCTTGAAAATGCTTCTTCCATCGGGAGTTGATAGAAATGAGATCTTTGAGTAGCTGGGTCCCATTTCTAGATCTAAGGTCCTCTGGTAGAGGTACCATACTTTGCTTTTGTGGCGTTAAAAAGGGCTCTGATGTTGTAAGTAACTGCAAGATGTTCCAATTCAATTCATTTGCTTTTCCACCACTGTGTTTTTAGTATTCTTGTCCTTCTTTGTACTTCAGCCTTTGTTTAAAGATAGGTTTGTTTGGGTTAGTTTGGGTTAGTTAAGTGGTTTGACTAAATTTGACTCTTTCTGCTAGATATTGTAGGCTTTCCTCTGAATTTCTTTATTGTTCTCATCAAACGAATCCTGATATCTCCTTGCGATGAAACCAGCTGATTCTTGGCAGGTCGTCTGCATAGCTGTTTTCTGTTTTAAGTGTTGACCAGTGCTGTTGGATATCGCCGGGATATTCAGCAGACAATTTCTCATTAGTAGGAACTGGAAGTTTGATTTGGTGTCTTCATCTTTCAGTCGCTGAATATTTAACCTGCGTTGTGGTCGTTTTCATCTCTTTCATAGTTTTGGTGGTACTTGTAGAATTGTTAGAGATCGGATCCGATACTTAGACAAACAAATAAATTCCTTTGCCATCCGGACAAAGTCATGGCGCTCACCACATCCAAACGTGTTTATATTGAACAATCCTAGTATTGCACAAAGTCATTAATGAGGATTTATTAAGACCCATGTCCTAGTTTTTAATGAAAAATTCATAAAATTACTGTGAATTATTTAAAACAAAAAATATTAGTCAAAAAATGTAAAGTAGTGTTTGATGATAGTTTAGAATCATGACACAAAGATAATCCTTAGAAATAGTTTGCATAATTCAACTTCACTTTCCTAAGACCCGGTTTATTTTTCTTCAGATAGACTTGCTGGTAACTACATATCTGCAAGATAAATTTACCGTTCTATAATACTATCGGCGGATAACTGGCCGACCAATGGGATTACAAATTGCGTTTTGATTTTAGTTCAAAAATTGACCGCATTATTAAAGCCTCAAATAATCAATAAGCTCAATTATTTGAATCAATAAAGCAAGGAAAAGTCGTTGTTGAAAAAATTATGTAAATTTATTGTTCACTTTACCACAAAAACAACCCATTAAATTCAATTATTTTTAGTTTCAAATTCACGCACAGAATAATAAAATGCACTAAATCTACTTCTTCCTGTGAAAAACATATTATTTTGCGTCGTTCAGAGACATCGTTAAAAATAATTATTGAGATCAAATTAAGATTTATGAAGCTTGAGCTGGAAATAATTATTACGACTTTCTGGCGTTTCGCTTTATTAATTTTCACTCGTTGCTGAGAATAATGCGTCGGATATTTTGATTGAGACCTCAACAATAAATGCCTTAGGAAGAAGAACTTATTCAATCGACAAAATTATGCAAACTATTTGCAAGTTAAATGCTGTAACATTTCTTAATCTGAATGAAACAAGCCGTGTTAATTTGTTATCATTGGATTTCGTGAATAATTACCTTCCTCCTTCGAGCAGGTGGTACAATAAAATAAGTTGTGACACAGTGGTCACGGAGGTATTGGTTCCTGGAACCTCCATTTCCTGGTTCAACCTCGTACTCTCCCCCTAAGTAATCCAGTGTAGCTTGTGTTATGTGAACTCTCCTATAAAAAAAAATAGTCACAAAATGAAATCCATTATTTACGACAACATAGGGAGAATATTTTTAAATCTAATTTCACCGTGAAAAGCTAGGAAGAGATTGTATATATTCAGTTAACAATAAAAATGGGTCTCTACGCCAATTCAGAGACAATTTAAAATGGACTTGTCAACTCTATTGGCCAAGGTACACTTATGTAACCCTCTAAAAGCTTTTACATTTTGCAGCTCCTTTAAAGTGATTGGGAGACAATAATTGGCTAAAAGGGAAACTTTTAGTTCCAATAATGTTTTTGTGCATGTGGGCAAGATATTAGACATGCAAGTGAGTTGCGATAACAACAAAATTGCCGCAAATGTCACCATGGCGGGAATATATAATGATAATCTGTTACAAATGCATTTTTTTCAGGACAGGAAATGTTGTTTCAAATATAAAAAAATAATTTTGAAATCAGATTTTCTATGTATACATTGTTAAGTTTCAGTATAATTATCGTCGTTGTAGATAGTGTTCATGCAACAATTATTGTACAATTCTCCAAGGCTTCTAAATGTCATTCAAGCAGAAATTGCCTTGAGCTGAAAGACAAACCGCTAGTTGCATGTACTAGTAATAATCAGCTAGATAGAAGAAATAGAAACCGAATAAAACCTCAGAATGCAATAACAGTCTGGTTCTTGTTGAATCAATTAGAAAATGCCCAACTAATCCCGAATCCCGCCCGTTCTATAGATTGCGCTAACGAATTTATAGATCTATTCTCAGTGGCGCAGTTCTCCGATTTACTATTGGCAGTCCCGATAAAATAATTTTGACTTGGTTTAACAATTACCATTACGGCGAATATTGCCGGTAAAGTTCAAAGGGTAACATAGAAATTGCACATTGATTACCCAATGGCTGTAGAACTTAAAGTGGTTAATCAATTGGATTTGTATCTGAAATTTACTCGAACTTATTTTCTGAAAGTAATTTTGTAGAGGGAATAGTTTTTGCAAGGCAATTTAATTTTGGATAAAGTGGAATTATTCGAGCTTTGTCCATTTGTAAGTGGTTTTAATTAAATGGGATTAGGCCCTATACTAAAAAGGCAAAAAGCATAAGTTAAGACCTATTTTGATTCTGATATTGATATTGTCAGGGTTCTAGCTTGCGTGACAGAAATCTTGGATCTGTTTATTCAAAAATCAATGTCCAATTAACACAATAATAATTTATTCCACGTTACTATACACTCTGACACTAATTACCTACTTCACTAATTAACTCAAACAACTTAACTCTTTACAACTTTTACAATAATCACTGTCTTAAACGTATCACAACCAAACTTAAACTAAAAAGTACTAACTAATACCGGCCTTTATATATCCGTAATCTATTCCTGCAAAATCCAGAATAAACGCGATAGCCCTTTTTCCCGAATATCACTGTGAAATCTAGAATCAGCTGTTTAATTATGTACACCCTGGCGGAAGCGCCCAATTTTGTGACACTGCCCTCCTCTTAAAGTTGATCGTCCTGATCAAGTTAGCGCCCATAATATTTCGTCAATCTGTCCAAATGTACAACTTTCACGTTCTTCTTCAGGTATTCCAAACATCAGATCGGAAGGTAACCTGAGTTTCCTTCCAAAAAATATTCTAGCTGGACTTTCACCTGTTGACTCGTGAACAACTGCTCTGTAAGCCATTAAAAATAGAGGCAAATGTTGGGTGTTCCTCTATGGTCTTAATAAAACGTTTTGCCATGCCATCAGACTGTTGATGTAAAGGTGTTGTCCTTGTCTTACGAATTCCCATGATCACACAATTTTTTTTAAAGATGGCAGATTCGAAGTTTCCTCCCTGATCTGAATGTAACTCTAGTGGCACACCATGACAACTAAAAACTTCTTCCACTAGCACTTGAGCAATAGTGATGACTTGTTGATTGGGAATAGCGAAAACTTCTGGCCATTTACTGAATTAATCCATGATAACCAAGATGTATTTGTTACTACGCTCTGACTCAGGAAACGGGCCGGCTACATCTATCGCTTTTCTTTCAAATGGCAGACTGAGGTTGTACTGTTTCATGAGCCCCGAGATCTTAGTTTAGGGCCTTCACTGGTAGCACAGATGTCGCATTTTCGGCACCAGTTTTTAACGTCTTCATGATAGTGGACCCAGTAAAAACGTTCTCAAATTTTGTCCAAAGTCTTGTTAACTCCAAAATGTGCCCCTGAAGTTCCGTCATGTTTTTCTTTTAATACATCTTCTACTTGATCTTTTGAAATAACTAGTTTGCTCTTCGTAGTTTCCCCATCGGCACTTCCCCAAACTCTTTTCAGTAAATCATTTTCTACGGCCAGACAGTTCCACTGAGCCCACAACGCTTTTTGAATCAAATTCTTGTTCCCTCCATTCTGGCCTACATTCATCATTTTCTTTGAGATGTAGAACTTGCCCGATGTCCTGGTCTGCCTCTTGATCTTCTCTCATTTGTTTGGAAGTCCATTTATCATCAACGATAAGACCCGTTCTTCTCACAGCTGGACCAGTGTTTTTCTCAAGCATATTGATTCTTTGACGAAGCTTGCAGTCTGCTTTGCATAGTTGTTAGAAAGAGCATCAGCATTTTCATGCAGGTTTCCAGGTCCATGTTTAGGGCTGGCATCTCTAGATCTCCAAAAGTGTTGGGAACGATCCCTTGATGGAGAGGTCATCCTTAGTCTACAATCCTATTGCATATGTCCAAGCTTATGGCACCGGTAACATATTACTCGGTTTCTCGGTGTTGGTGTTTGTTTGGAGTCGTTTTCATTTGTCTAACTTGTAGTAATGGTTTCTCCATTTTCTTCATGAAATTACTCATAACATTCTCGAAACTACCATCCTCTTTTGATGATTGTTTATCTTTGGGGTCTTCAATGGACACTGCTTGTATTCTGGGTCATGAGGCACCAAAGATAGCTTGCAGTTTTAATGCTCGGACAAGGGCTTCGCTACTTTGTCTAAACTTAGACATTATCAGGTTTTCCTGGATCTTGGAATCTCTGAGACCATCAATAAACGCAGATACTGCCATCCATTCCTGCATGTCTTCCCCAGCTGCAGGAAACGGCAAACTCACTAGCCTTTCAACTTCCGATTCGAATTCTTGTAAACTCTCGACGGGTTTTTTAATTCTTGATTTAACTTGAGTTCTAAATACTTCTTGCCTATAATGGTCTCCGAAGCGAAATTCTAACGTCTGATTTAGATGCTGGTAATTCTGTTAGTAGATTGAAGGAATGGACTGAAGAAGATCTAAGGCAAGTCCTCATAGCGCTACTATCAGTGCTGTAGCTTTTTCTTGATCGCTCCATCCGTTGGTATTTGCAGCAGCTTCAAATTATCGGATTTACATGGTCCAAGACGTAGAACCATTAAAAGTTGGTGGTTTTATCTTCATACTAGAGAATGTTGTCGTTTGTTCTCTTGTTCCAATATTTTGCGCAGAAGTTCTTCAATTTTTTGTTCTTCCATTTTTGCTCGTTGTCTCATAATAGGCATATACAGATTGTTCTGGAATTTCCCTAAAACTTTCTTCAAATATCTTTCCTGGTCTTTGCTTGAAGTTTCGAACACGTCGGTGAAGTAACGAACTGAATAACTTGCTTTATTCTCGAATAGAATGTTCTTGAATTTTTTTGGAATATCTTTTCTGAATCTCGATCGATAAAGCAAACACGTCAGTGAAGTCACGAATTTGATATCTCCCTTGGTTTCCAAATAAAATTTTCTAGAACTTAGGTATTTGAAAATTCACTATCACACTCAAAATCGGGTATACAGTCACTTCCAGGGTAATTTACACAATCGGTCGTCTTTCTTTGTGGTTGTCACTGTTTGCACTGACTACTAACTGTCTCAGTGTTCACTCAGTGTCCACACTATTCTGCAATCGGATTTCACTTTGCAGTCCTCGAATTATATCGCACTTTTGATAACAATGTCACGGCTCTGGGGTGCGTGACAGAAATCTTGGGTCCGTTTATTCTAAAATCAAAGTCCAATTGACACAACAATAATAATTTATTCCACGTACTATACACTGTGACACTGATTACTCCACTAATTCAACTCGAACAACTTAACCCTTTACAACTTTACAATATTCACTATCTAAATCATATCACAGCCAATCTTAAACTTAAAAACTACTAACTAATACCGGCTTTTATATACCTATCCGTAATCTATTCTTGTGAAATCCAGAATAAACGCGATAGCCCTTTTTCCCAAATATCACTGTAAAATCGAGAATCAGCTGTCCAATTCTGTACACCCTGGCGGAAGCGCCACATTTTGTGACAATAGGAAGAAATATTTGGACTTTTACATGTAACTACAAATTGACTCCAAAGCACTTAAGTCCAGGAAAAATGTTAGGGTTTGAGGCTACATGATGAGAGCTCTCTTACTGTTAGTAGTCGCATTGGGAAAATTTCGAAAAAGCCATCATGTCTTGAGAACCATATCTTGAAACACAATATGCCTTAATTGAGCCTCGCCTTAGTAATGACATTTAAATTTGAATTACAAAATTGTTGCTTACCCGGGTTCACCTCCAGCTTCCATATTATTAGCCAGTGTAACGTCATTGGACCAAACGTCGTACTGCCACTTGCGGAGTCCCAAAACACCACAAAGCACTCTACCCGAGTGAATACCGACTCTCATGTTCAGTTGCACGTCTGTGGCTTCGACCACGCTGGCAATGGCATCGATCATATCCAGACCCATTTCCACGGTACAATGGGCATGATCCGAGCGCGGGTCTGGGAGTCCTGAAACGCAGTAGTAGCAGTCGCCGAGAATTTTGATCCGAAGACAGTGATTATCCTAGAACAAACATTATTTTGAATGCTAACTCTTTTTGAACTTGATTAGTTAGGTACCCTGTTATCTTATTTCTAGAATAACGGGCGGTTGCAATTCCTATATACCCGACTATCGTTTTTACATGAATGTTTTGTTTATAAAGCAAGTAGAGACCAGATATTCAATAAACAAATTAGGAGTAACCTGGATTAGTCTCTTGTAAAGATTTTATAGCAGGAATATTTTTCAACATGCTCTGATCATAGAATTAATGGGTATTCAAATTTTCTTGCAGTTACAGTAATAACGCTTTCCTTCGTATTTTTTTTTTTATTCATTGGGTATTCTATGCCTAAAAAATACCGGATCCGAAGTTTCATTGGGAGAGAATGGCTCCATGGTCCATGTCCACTGTACACGCTGAAGAGAGGAAATGTTTATGATTGAGAGCCAATTTCATCAACATTCAGTTATGAATAACACATTTACAATTTGTGGGAAACTAATCTATTTCTAGTAGAAAAATAATGACCCAACAGAAAGTATTTTATTTTCTGTTAGTTAAAGCAATAAGAAAACTGAGCTCCGAAATATGTAATAATCAAATTAGGAGCAAGTATTAAAGCTTGTAGCGCTAATTTTGGGGCAAGTGAAACTTCCAAAAAACTGGAACATAGGTAAGTATAATTCTCCATATTGGCAAAAAGTAGAAATTACTCTCCAAAACGTGGTGTATGAAGTGTTGTAAAGGAATGTCAGAATATTTTTTGTCAAGCAGGCCCTGGAAGAAACAAATTCCGTTTTTGTGGATGCCTGAAGATTGCGATGGTTGAACTCATCCATAAGGATGATACTCTCCTAGCTATAGATTTCTTTTTTTTTTCAGAACATGATATAATAAATACTAGTTAGTTAATTTGAATTCCAGATCATCCTAGAACAGACCAAGACCTACCCTGAATCGTAGTGCCAAAAATGATGTCGAGTCTATTTCCAATCCAGCCTTGCCAGCCTTTGCATCAATGGTATCAATTTACATTGGGAATCAACAAGACAGTTGTACATTTTAAACCTATTCTAAGCCCTATCAAAATAGGCGTGTAATCAGGGGCGGATGGGCAACTTTGAATCGGCCCGGGACGGTTTTTGCTCAAGCGGCCCCGCGCGCTCACAGGAGATGAATAACACTGGATAGGGTATTAAATAGTCTCCTTTTTTAGAAAAAAAAAACTCCTTACATTACTCAAAAATACGAAAGCGTAAAGCCATGCTGATAGGTATTGTAAAATATTTTCATGTTCTAGTTTAAACTTTTTCTGTTTAATCAGACATTACCAAATTTAAGTACCGCAATTTCGGTTAGTTCGCAATTTTATTCAGACATTATAGGTCTATGTTTATTTTTCGAAAACAAAAATTGCGATTTTTTTTTTCCGAATGCTTTCATTTTAAAAATCAACCATTTGGAACATATTGACTTTGAATAACTTCTTTCGAAAATGAATAATTTTGAAGCATGTCCAAACTAACCGGGTTATTATTGGTAATGTTTGATTGAAATAGCAAACTAAACCCCAAACTAACCAGGAACATCGGTAAGTTTAAAAATGTCTGATTAAAATTGAAAACTAACCCAAACTAACCGGGTTATTCTCGGTAGGTTTGAGTTTGGTAATGTTTGATTACAATAGATTTCAAACTAACACAAATTTTGAAAACAAAATGGTTATGTTCGATTGAAATTGCAAACTTACCCAAACTAACCGGGTTATTATCGGTAAGTTTGGTAATTTCTGATTGAAAGTGCAAACTAACCCGGATTATTATCAGTAAGTTTTAATGTTTGATTACAATTGCAAACTAACCCAAACTAACCGGGTTAGTATTAGTAAGTTTGAAAATATCTTATTGAAATTGCAAACTAACCGGGTTATTATCGGTAATGTCTGATTACAATTGCAAACTAACAAAAACTAACCGGGTTATTATTGGTAACTTTGATTATGTCTGACAAAAATTTCGAACTTAGCGGGTTATTACAGGTAAGTTTGGTAGTGTCCTCGGTAATGTCTGATTGAACGGAAAAAGTGTAAGTTTACAGAGAAAGTATAAATTTACAGAAAAAGGGTAAATTTACAGAAAAAGTCTAAATTTTAATGAAAATATTTTTCAATATTAGATGGCAGCTCAACGCCTTGTGAAAACGACAAAAAACGTTGACTGCTTTCTGTTGAATTGGCAGTGTTGTCGCATTACGCCTTAAGTGATTTTTTTTCTATCAAGTTGTGGCGTATTGTTTGTTATCATATTTTTTTTTTCCTTAAGCGGCCCACTTGGCTCTCCGGCCCACCGGGAATCGTCCCGGTGTCCCGCCTGAGCCCATCCGCCCCTGCGTGTAATCCAGGTTTTAGAAAAATCATATTACGAACAGTAAACTCGTTCCAATCCAATTTTAATTTCACTAATCCCGCAGAAAATCACCGTCAAACTTCGTTAACGGCTAAAACTAAAAAAGATTAAAGACCATTATTTTACTTTTCCGCTCACGTATATCCAATCCAGTCGCGACTATAACTATAAGGGCCGGAGATAATACCCAGTTTAAAAAGACAGAGAAAGACCTTTGACATTTTAAAGTTTAACGCTCCAGTCCTTAAAGTTTAATCACCTATAAAGATGTTCCTAGAAGGCAAAAGTGTATCAGCTTTATTTTGAAGAACGTCAGAGCCAATAAAGCTAGGAAGTTTTCTTGGGCTTTGTCAGGTATTTTTAATTTAGAAGTTATAAAAGTGCAATTTTATACCTCGTCCATCGATATTTTATAAATAATTTCAAACGATGTTGGCAACTCAGCCCGAATTTTCAAGGTGTGCGGTAAAATTATTCTACTTATTTCAATGGTCCTGTTACACGCGAATTATAACTTAACGAAGAAAAAACCAAAGTTAGATTAGCAGCAATTCGCACCCCAGCTTTCTTTTGTCTTTCGTGCTCTATATCCATAATTACTAACCGAACGCAAAATATTTTGCTGGATTAATTATCAATAAAATCGATAATGTAGAGATTTCATTTTGCATAAAAAGCATAGACGGCGCATAGGCTTTATTCGAATGTCAAGAGTTTATGTCGTCCAAAAATCATAGATAAACGCATTCCACTTTTTATCTCTTAAGGTATTTGTTTTCTATCAAGATTTTTTGATTGAAGAAGAAAGAGGGACTGATACATGTTCAACATGCATCTCCTTGTGAACTTGTCCAATAAAGTACCGCAATCAGTTAATCAGCATTTTTAACAATGATCAATATGTGAGGGCTGACAAATTCTTCAACATGTCCAATACTAGTTATAATATTGCAATCTGGAGTTTTTGAGCCTGCTGATAAACATTTTAAAAATGTTTTACGGGCACTTCTGATATTTTTATGTCATAAAAATTGTCGCGCCTATGGTTTATGACGCACCTGAGCAGGCCTTATTTAAGTTGTTAGCAAAGTCCTGTTAGATTTTTAAGGAAAGAGATGAAAATTATGCCTGTTAAGTCTATTTCAAACAAATTTGGGTTACAAAAAAAACAACAAACCTCATCAGTATGAAGGGCAAGAAATTTTATAACTTGAGAATTCAAGTTTAATACCCACTAAATCTTGGCACATTCATTTTATCCTGATTTGTTTTTGTTCCAAATAGTAAATTGCACGTTTTTTTTTTTGTAATTATTGAAGGGTTTTATTTACTGTCACAAAAACCTGCCCTTGCTCGATTTGATATTACATATTTTATTCAGAAATAAATTGGTCTCATCAGGCAAACTTGTTTATGTTCTAGAACTACTCATTTGAAATTAGGGTAATTTACAGTAATCAAGAACAGAATAGGGCCCTAATCAGTGCTTCTAGCTGTAAACAATTTAGCCCGTTGCATGGTATGTAATATTTACTCGTCTGCTGGTAAATAAAATATAAATAGTCCGTTTTAACGTATTTTATGTAGCTGCAACTCCAATCATTCGCTTTTGACGAACTTGAAAAATACGTTACTAAGTTTAAGTTTTCTTAACGTTTTTTTTTTATGATCTGACGGATGAAGTATCGATTGAGAAAATGAAGGTAGGTCATTCAAGATCCATAATCGGAAAATTATTCAGTCGACTTCTAATCGGGGCACGATGTAATGCTTATTAATCATGTGGGTGATCGCGTTACTCAATTTGGCTGTTAATGGTTCACCTTCAAGACAAATTCCTTGATTACCAATAAAATCAATCAATGGAGATTTTGAATAGAGCTGGTCTCTCGAATATGTATAATAATTCAAAAAAAAGAAAAAAAAATTGTCCACTAAGGCGTTAAGGAAGATCAATAACCTACCGAGATTCTAATCTGAGCTCAACCATGAGCAAAATTATCTCTAAATCAAAGCAAGAAAACACGTTGAACCAAGTATGAACCCAATTTTTAAAAATGTTTGGGATGCGGATCACGAATTTCAGGTCAAAAGTCTTTAAATTTTCTCGTTTTACCACATTACAGCAAATTTAGAATTATGGGGATTTGGAGCCCCGAGAACAAAAACAGATTAAACGGAAGGAATTAGAATAAACTTTGCATAAGAAACAGTAAAGTTTTACGAATTACATTAAAAAAAAAACGACGGAGAAAAATATATGGGGCGACTGCCGCAATCTCCCTTTAACTGAATTAAAGTCAGACGACTTTACCTAATATTAGAAGATGAAAAAGTCGATTGGATGTTTCACGAGGGTTAACTTCCCTGGCGACATCATTAAATTTTTACACTTTATTTGACTACGCTCGAAAGGCTGGACTCTCTTAACAACAGGTACATAGGGGAGACCATGTACGTTTGCTTATACAAAAGCAAATTCAAAATCAGATCGATTGAAACTTGTGTCTTGGTTCCACAAAAACATTAAAACGTTCTTTGAACAAATTGAAGGAAAAAGAACGGCGCCACGTTTTAATTTGTGTTTGGATGTAGACAATAACGTAACTGAT